TAGTATATTTAATTATTCATTACAATCCATTAATAAGGACATCAGGTTGGAGTACCATTGTCAACATAATGGGCGTCACTTTCTTGGGGTTGTCAAAATGTCAACAATAATCTCCATAACTAAAAGTATCTATAAACAATTTATCTTCCACTTTTCTCTGAAATTTAACATCCCATATTATTGAGAAATCTTAATGAGTTGATCACCACACATTTTTCCTGAGAAGGCAGACTGTTCAGCAATGGAATACAATACATATGTAATCTGGTATACAAGTAATTGGCGTCACTTTTTCTAACTGTACTTAAGAAACATAAAAGAACACTTTTTCTTAAGGAATGGTAATTTAAGGTATAGAATCAATGTAGATGAATTTCCAAATCCATCTTTCAAGCAGCCTTAATGGAAAATACCACTTCTGATTTGATATTTGTAATGTCAAGGTAATCGGCGTCACTATTGGTGTACCTTGTTAAAAACACCAAAAAACAACAAAATATGCCCCCAGTTATCTTTTCACTAATAATTGAAGAATTTTAGATATATATAGAAGTGTTATAAGTTAAAATTAAATCATTTTACCAATATTTAAAATTTGAGGGAAAATTTCCTAATAGCTGAGAAGCACCCAAATAGGAATGTTGGTGCTTTTCTTGTAAGTCATTGATGTATACTGTATTACCAAAGACACTGCCATGAGGGATTCCACTGGTAATATCTATCCATTTGATACTTCACCATTTACTGTTAATTATTAATTGTTATTGTCAATTCTTTTTTTAACCTTTATATACCTTGTGATAAATCATCATTTTTATATATAGAATGATTGTGTCCAATTGTCATATGAATATATGTTAAGGGATAATTACTTAACATTAGACAGTCTCACATCTTACCTAAATGCCATATCATTGATGATTTCGCTGGAATACGATCAAGGGGTATTGAAGATATAAACACAACCATAATATTCTGGATTTAATACTGGAAAGAATGATAAAATCACCATATTTTACTTCTTTTCAGCTAAGTCAGAGTAATCAATTTGGATTATCTCCCCTTAGCTTTGGCATAGCTACCATCATACTTCACCATGAACAAGTATCAAAATCTTCTTAAATTGATTAAAAATTGTATAAGTGGCTTGGTTGGTAATCACAATTTCTGTCTTGAACAATACATGACCATCAATAAAACATTTAGAAAGTTTCAGTTCAAATCAAGTCATTATTGTTGACATAGTACCTGTCTGCAAATGTTTAAGAGAGTAGCAGACATCTTTCTTTAGGTCATTTCTGCATATCAATATGTCAATAGATGAAATATAAATTTTGGATAATGGAGATAATGTAAAGTATATAACTTTCTTCACAGGTTGCTGTAGCCAGTTTTTTTGACAATGATGATGGGGATGAAGATCTCTATGAAGCACCTGTAGCAGAACCTGCACCGCTGCCTCCAAAGCCTACACAACCCACAAATTCATCAGCAGCGTCATTTCCACCCGCAAGCACACGACCTTCGAGGTAAACAAGAAATATCTTCGGTGAAGTAATAAAAGTGTACAATAACGTCTCAGAAATAAAAGATATTGTTACACCTCAAGTGAATTTCTAGCTATTTGATTGGTTGGGAGAAAATTAAACAAAAATCTGTCACCCTCCGAAAATACATTGGTTTTAAGGGGCGCAGGTGATATTGCCATGAGACAGTGAAAAATATCACATGCACGAAAAATATGCGATCACCACTTCGTTTTCCCACCGTGATGGTCACAAGAACGTTTGACGGCAACAGCCAATTTTATCAAGCGCCGGTGCGATAGCGATTGTAAACAGCAGACTATCAACAAACAAGATGTCATTATCGAGGTTTGCTGTCGTTTCTGAGCTACAAAGACTTTTGGTGTAACAAAATAGATATGACATTCATTAGCAGGTGACAGTGAATATTGTCAACCCTCAAAAACCCCATTGTCACCCTCGGCGAATCACTATTGCATAACCAAATCAATTCTGATCTTTTGGGATATTATGAAATTTCGATTATTTTTTTCACTGGAACAAAATGAAACATTTTTTTGAGGCAACAATGGTTTATTAGAAAGAAAACACATAAAAAATAATAACAATGAAAATATTGATGAACAAAACACAAAAAACAATTTTCCAACAATAATACTAAAACAAACAAAATGCCCGTTACATGAATCAATAAATTTCCGAGTGCCAATGCAACATGTTAAGGACAACGAGAAGAAAATATAGGTGACAAAAAATAAATATCTTGCGGACTTACTTATCATACAAAAAAACTAGAAAGATACAATAAAAAAAATAAACAAAAAAGAGAGACAACTCTTACATTTGTACCAATAATAATTCTAAATCCCAAAAAGTCATATATACAATTTACAACATACAATATAGCACTTTTTATATACGAATATAATACAGTAGGCATTAGCTGCATTACCAACCCATTAAAATTACTTCAAATGTAATAACCATGCAATATAAAACAAAATTGTACATTGTGTATGAATAACATTATAACAAACAATGTACTTTACTCTGAACAACAATAACAAAGTTTCACATACTTTACACAACAATAATATATTTCTACATAATAGGCAAATAATATAGTATGTTGTGATATAAAAAATCACACTATAAACAACAATAATAAACTTTTACATTCTGAACAAAACAATAATAAACTTTCACATTATGTACAGAAAACAACATACCATATTTTGATATAAAAAATATCACACTATATAGCAATAATAAACTTTGTCATTATATACAGATAACAACATACTATATATATTGTGGTTTAACGAATATCACACTATACAACAATAATAAACTTTTACAGTATGTACAAATAACAACAAACAATATTATGGTATAAAAATATCACATTGTAAAAATAACACTGTTGTATGTAATATAAAAAAGAACTTGAAATAAAGGCCTATTGGGTATATATATGTAATAATAAATATAGAATATAATCCTGACTATTGTGATGTAAAAAATACTTCCAAGGCCAAAATGTCTTTCCTGTTGGGTATTGCACAACCGTAGCCTAGTACAGCATTCCTAACAACCATTCTGGTCCAGGTATTCAGATAACATCGCAAGTTCTACCCTGCGACCAGGTTAAAAAGTTATGAACATATTCGTGATCACAAGTACTGGAGGGATCCTCATCGGACGTCGGTGTCAGCTCATCAGTAAAATTGTATTAGTAGGGGCCTCAGTAGCCAGCGTCTCTTCATATGTGAATGAGTGTCACTGTTTTGTCGCATAGTCGTGGTCTAGCAGTTGATATTGGACATTGTTGTTGTTATTATTGTCAGTTAATGCGTTTAGTTTACATTTAAAACGACCGTTTTTGTGTCGGCCATGAGATGACTGCCACGACAGCTTTTTCCACACTCGTTAATGCATTTAGTTTACAATGTAAAACGGCCGATTTTACGTCGGGCTGCTTGCATGTCGGCCATCACTGCCACGGCGTTGTTTACATCGTTAGGACAGCTTTTTTTGTCAACACTTTTGCGATTGGAGATTTTCAACACAAGGGACACAACTCTGTAGTCGAAACGTTATTCAAACGAAATCTATTCAAGGGAAGATAACAAAATTGTCGAACTGGTAATCAGGGGCAGTTGACTCTAACACTAAAAAACGACAGTGGAAATCTTCAGTGTTTTGCTCTGGTTGGGACGGGGATCCTTAAGCTTCCTGTTGAGTAGTCTTTGAGACAGAACAAAGAACTGGAATTCATATTAGAATGTAGAGGCTGTGATCGATAGTGATAAATGATGCCTATTTATATATAATAGCTGGTGTCGTTAAGTGACTAAGATCTTGAGTTGATGTACAATCATACAGTGTCTTATATATAGACTTATTTTATGTATACCACAATGTATTTCAAATTATATTGATCTTAATGATGTGGATATATATTATATAGGCAGAAATGCATGCATTCACTAATATCCTATTAAATTAAAGGAAGGATCAACATCAGCTGTAGTGTAATAAAATCAAATAATATTATTTTAGACATGCACACAGTATGTATGGTAGTAAAATTTGTTTAAAAGCAATGAGTTCTGCATAAAGGTTTGCCACACTAGGAAGTTACCAGGACCGGGAGAATTCCTCGTCATCAGATGATGAAGGGCAGGCCTTCTATGCCGGGGGATCTGAAACCAGGTAATATATTGTTGTTAATTAGTTTCTTCTAAAATCTGTGTAGTGGAGGTAATGTTCTAGTTTTGTTCTGGTATGACTGTGTTTTGGTGTTATATCCTCCTGTATGTGTGATTATTACTAGGAAGTGCATGTCTCAGATATTGTACAGGCTAAATATATGTATTCATATATGGATATAATCTGATTTGATCAATGTAAATTTTTGTCGTTTGTTGCAATGTAAGTTTAGCAGTTGTAGATTTGATTACATTTATTCATATTTTTGATGATTTGGTGACAGGGATAATTGAAATTTATGATATTTTGTGGATTTAATTGATGTAAATCTTTGATTATTCAATTAGTGTAATAATAGGTCCATTTTTATTGATTCTGTGGATATAGCTGCACTGCATTACTTCTGTGTTCATATGCAGTTAATTAATTTATGATCGTTTGTACTTCCAGTGGTCAACAGATCATTGGTCCAAAGAAACGTGAAGGGAAAAAAGTGGTGGACAATCTGTTTAAATCAGCCAGAGAGTAAGTGTTGGTGCAAATAACAAAACCTTATCAGGTGAAGTTAGTTTACGTCTAAATGGTGGGAATTTTCTTTGAGAAGGAACTTTTAATAACTTTTTACCTAGCTAATGTGTGCATCAAATAAATTTGGAATGGTATTTAGACAAACCATGTTTATTATATGTTAAGCATGTAGCCAATTTACTATGAAAAAGTTTATTGCTTTATGTTTTTCAATGAGGCTCCCTAAGTTCATATGATGCACACTTGTGAATGTTATCAAAATATTCACCACACATAATGACATATAACTAATCATCAAGAAATCTAGAATGTCATCTATGTATTATCTGTATCATCTGTATCATTATGCAGCATTTATAAAGCAATCTTTCTAATCACAAGGTAGTTACTCAAAATCAGTTACATTACGTAAGGAGGCACGGTAGTCTAGTGGTAGGACACCGGGCTCGTGACCGATGGGATGCGGGTTCGAGTCACGCCACTGCACTGTGTTGTATCTTTGAGCAAGATACTTAACTCCACTTATTCCAGTCTACTCAGCTGAAAATGAGTACGTGGTTGGTCAGTGCTAGAATTGTTGAATGCTAGCTGTGAGCGCCAAAATGGCAGCACCGGCTGTATGCTCCACATGGAGTTGAGAAAGTTATTCACTGGCCCTATAACCACGGATAATAATTAGTGATTCGCTTTGAGATTATCTACAAACCAGGTTGTGATAAAGCAGTATATAAGAACCTCCAATTATTATTATTACATTCAAGGGATGACTATACATTCAACACAATCAGGAGAGAGGGAGCAATACTAGTCCAGAACATATAGGTTGTGGTCCCCTGTTGTACCTCTATGTGTGTGTGAGTGTGCTGGTGAAGGTTCTACTTGTTATTGATGATATTTCAAATGGCTAACTTGTGTCAAGTTGTCATATCACTTAAATAACTACTATAGTAACAACAACTTGGACCAAATTATAATATTATTATGGGGTTCTAATCTAAGGACTTGCGGACCAAATTATAATATTATTATGGGGTTCTAATCTAAGGACTTGCGGACCAAATTATAATATTATTATGGGGTTCTAATCTAAGGACTTGCGGACCAAATTATAATATTATTATGGGGTTCTAATCTAAGGACTTGCGGACCAAATTATAATATTATTATGGGGTTCTAATCTAAGGACTTGCGGTTGATATTTATAATAATAATAATTTTCAAGGTTCTTATACCGCTTTATCACAACCTAGGTTGTAGGTCATCTCAAAGCGGTTCACATTTTGTTATCCATGGTTATAATATAGGCGACTATTGCAGCCCCCATATAAAAAATGAGTCATGTATGATGTTATCATGAATGTTGTTTTATTTGATAGACATGGAGCAGAAGAGGTGGACAGATCAGAGAAGAAGCCACTGAAAAGTATGGCATTCAAAGGTTCCGGTTACAGACTTGGTGAGACAGAGGATGGACCAGCCGACATTGTACAGGGAGCACCTCTACAATCAGGTCCCAGACAGGTGATGAAATGGCTGATATCAAAATAATCTATTACCAGTTAGTCGTCAATACCTATTTAACTAATTCGAGGTCTGATATGTTGTAACAAAACCTACCGGTGACTTTATTTTGAGACAGGGATGTTACCTATATTATCCAGGTACTGAGGTCATTTGTAGCAATTACATAAACAGGTATTTGATTGTTTTCATGTATCTTTGAGCATGTCAACTTAAAAATGTAGATATTTTTGTGACATTTTTGTTTGTTTGTTCTCAAACCACCATATGACATGGAATCACCTAGTAAAAGGTACAAGAGTATTATTATGGAGTACTGTTATCTAGCCATAACTTAAAAGAACCCCTAGACAGGTTAAACAGGCCTTTAACTTTACATTCAACTCCTAGACAGGTTAAACAGGTCATTAACTTTGCATTCAACTCCTAGATAAGCTAAACAGACCATTAACTTGATATTCAGCTCTTAGACAGGTTAAACAGGTCACTAACCTTACATTCAAATCCTAGACAGGTTTACCCTTTCACCACTGTAGACCATAATGGACTCATCTAGATTAATGTATGGTAGAGTCTACTAAAGTTACATAGGAGTGAAAAGGATAAACAGGCCATTCACTTTACATTCAACTCCTAGACAGGTTAAACAGGTCATTAACTTTACATTCAACTTCTAGACAGGTTTAACAGGTCATTAACTTAACATTCAACTCCTAGACAGGTTAAACAGGTCATTAACTTTACATTCAATTCATAGACAAGTGTATAAATTGTGTGTATTGGTAACGATCACATTGCATATAATGTGTACATCAGTTATACAAGTACAGAACATTTATTAATCTCAGTTTTTATTGGAGCTTATCTGTATAATTGTTTCTAGGTTGACATGGTGCTTAAATTATGGAAGGATGGCTTCAGTGTGGACAATGGAGAATTGAGAGACTTCCAGAGTCCTGCTAATAAAGAATTCCTGGACTCTGTGGCCAAAGGGTAACATATCAGCTTATATACAATGCATGGGGTATAAATGTTAAATTGAGGCTGGTGGGAATTGCTGCCTCTAAAATCATGCTACAGTTGAGTTTGCATGATTATACTACAATGTCAAATCAATCAGATGTCTTTTGTTTCTAAAAGATAAATAAATAAATAATCTGAATTTAACATTGTGTAAATTGTCACTGATAAACATAAGCTCTGTAGAGCTTTTATTAGGATGCCGCTAATTATATAAGGGAACAGTGTTTTTTCGTGGTGGAGGAAAACCCACGGGGGAAAACCACCGTGCCATTGGAGGGATAACAACTAACCCTATCAGACATCACACTTTTTTTCTGCCACCGCAGGGGATCAAACCAATATTCTTGGGAGAGTGAGTGGTCACGCTTCATTGCCCAAAGTAGTAATGTCTGTGCACGTATGGCTTTTTAATACATCACAGACTAACTGAGAGAAGTCAAACATTTTACTGAGGCAGTCAGGGTCGAAACTGGAAAAACTGCATTACTTTTGCAATATAGATAACGTTTCTATTATCACATGACCATGTTTGATTATGATTAGGGATTATAATAGTGTATAAAAATGTTCAAATGTTCTTAATCGGTATTTCCAAATTAGTGTCAATAGGAAATTGTTATTACCAGTATAAGGTTGCAGTACAAAATTCTGGTGTACACATACAAGGCACTGAATGGAACAGCTCCTCAGTACCTACAGGAGCTTGTTACCCTGTATCAGCCGTCACGATCACTGCGGTCGGAGTCAGAATCTTGGCTGTGTGTCCTAAAATCTTGTACTGTGACCTACGGAAACAGATGCTTTGGGAGGGTTTAGGCTACGTTGTTGAATAGCTTACCATCTACTATAAGAAAGTCAAATACCCTGACCAAGTTCAAGAGGGACATCAAAACTCACCTTGTCACGTCTGCATTTTAGAATCCTTGCAAAGACGTCATGTAAATACCCCCCTTTTATTTGTTCAATTATGTGCACATTGCTTGTTTATAAATGTATAAAAGTGATCGTAAGCCTTTGTTTTTTGTTTTCACAATTATAACCTTTACTATTATCCATATGTTGTAAAGCGCTTTAGAGTAATTTTACAAATTATATAGGGCGCTATACAAATGTTGTATATTATTATTATGTTTTGGTAGAGAAGTTCCACAGGAGTTGATCAAGCTTGCCAGGGGAGGGGAAGTCAACCTTAACATGGAGGATCATCGACAGGAAGCCTTTGTGAAATCTAAGGAGGCTACAAAAGCTTTCTCTGGACAGGGAAACCTACTTGGCAGGTAAGTCAGTGTGGGTCAAATCATAGGGAGTTATCAAAATTCTACCTCTGGAGAGGGAGACAGAATGGCCAGGCAGGAGTGTCCCATGTGGATCACTTTGCATTTGTCTGGATGAAAACGGAGGTGCCAGGCCTCTGACCATTTTGAAAGAAAGCATTCATATGAAAAAAATACAGAAGTTAGAGAGATTTCCTCAGGAAGTTGCAAATTTTGATTAAAAACTAGCAAAACAAAATGTTGATTAATAATTTTTGGGATTGACCAGATATTACATATATTTTATTAACATGTATGTGTATCGTCACCTGCGTTTGTCTGGATGAAAACGGAGGTGCCAGACCTCTGACCATTTTGAAAGAAATGATTCATATGAAAAAAATATAGAAGATGGAGAGATATCCCCAGGAAGTTGCAAATTTTAATGAAGAACAAGCAAAACAAAATGTTTATTTATGGTTTTTTGGGATTGACCAGATATAACATATATTTTATGAACATGTACGTGTATTGTCACCTGCAGCCCTGCACCAAATATAGCCCCAGCTGCAGCCGGATCAGCGGCGGCAGCGGCAGCCTCACAAAGCAGTGTAGCTGTGGATGGGTCTCGTCCTACCACAAGTCTCCAGATCAGACTAGCAGATGGGTCAAGGTGAGAGGTCATTCACAGGAAGGCAGCATGATATAAGGCGAATTTGTTGTCACAAAACATGTTTTAGTTTCAAACTGGTTTTGTAAACTTTCTGTTTTTTAATGAAAACCAGTTTAAAACTAGGAAACTGTTTTTTCCATTTGTTTAAGGTAAACCAAAACCGGTGTGGAAAACTGATCAAACCGCACCCGGGTGTGGTTTTGTATTTGGTTCCCAATCAAAGATGGTGTTGATAGATAGTGTGATGGTAGAATGTAGTGAAAGCAGAGGATTTTGTCAAGATATCGACTGATTAAACGGCCATCACTGCTTCGCCAACATTTCTATTATAAATAAATAAATTAATTATATGAATTTGTTTAGTTGAAATATTGAAAAATCAATAAAAAATGTGCAATTTAAAAAAATATGTTTCGATAATTAATTTGGCAATCAAAGATCGTACTTGAAATACCCAGCGAAGTGTATTGGAGTAGTCTTCGAACACTGAATCAAAGTAGATGTACGGAAACATATGACAGCTGTTTCATGCAGGTGAAATTTGTTGAAAAATATTTGTTTAAATCTTTTTAAAATACTGTATTATTTTGCTAGTTTTTGTGTAGCCTACGTCGGGTGTCGTAAAAAACACAAATTTCTGGACTTTGAAAAAAACCCTCAACGATAAGGTTTTGCGTTTAGCTCTTGCATATTAGGCTCTTTCTGACAAAGTATAAGAGCTAGACCAACCAAACCTCAATCATACATGTATCATGGTTAGTAGAGCCTACTACTCTAAAAACATTTCATGGATTTCTGCACTTTTTCGGATAAAAACCTGAATTTCTGGACTTTAAAAAAAATCAATGTAATGATTTTGCGTTTAGGTCCGTTTCCTTATGTACTTGGGTCATACACTGTAGGTGTATCATAGCTGAATGCACTACACTCTTTCCTAACATTTCATGGATTTCCCCCAGGCGACACATATAATTACGCAAAATTCTTGTTGTTTCTATTAGGAGATTGTACATGGGTTTTTTTGACAGTCATTTCAACAGTTTTCTACCGATATGAGTATGTAATAACCGATAACACGAGGATATCATCTGTGCCATCATCATATTATTGAGATAAACTTGAAGTATTAGTGCTGAACACAAAGCCAAAGCCAAAGACCTAAACTATAAACCAAAACTGGTTTTGTGATAATAAATTCGCCTACAGATCTTAAGGGCCTTTTAGTGGAGTTTAAAATGTACAAGAACCATTCCTGTATGATATTTGTAGATTATACAGTTACTGGTATGTATATGTCTTTCAGAAAATGCTATTTACTTTAGATATTGGTTAAGTTTTAATTATTTTGAATCATTATTTTGAATTATTGCTTGTCTTGCTATACATGATATAATAATGTTATAGAATATATTCAATATAAATGGTCTGCTCCATTTCAATATTAAACTTATAAAAACTAATTAGTGTAGTAAAGGAGAGACCAAACATATTATGAACGGGGAAAGAGCAAATATATAAACCAAGTCATCCACAATTTTTTATTTTGTTATTTTTCTATTTTTTCAGAATGGTCGCCAAATTCAACCATACACACAGGATCAGTGATATAAGACAGCATATCATAGCGTATCCTTTTTTTACTCTCAAACCTTGACCAATCCCTTTGTTGTGACTATCTGGTGTTGCTGTTTTGTCCACTAGGAACAACTTTTGAAACGACAGAGTATATATTTATAGGATATTGAAATTGATGATTAACATGTAAATTTGAATAAATTTTCAAGTTATTCAGTGCTTATTTATCAAATACAGTGGATAATAATGCCAAGATACGACTCTATTGGTTTAAGTCCTGTTTTTAAAGCATAATATATTACAATACTACCTCCCTTTGTTGAATCATTTCTGACAAATATTTTTTTAACGGTTCAGTTGTACAAAAATTCTTGAAAATTATCGTTTTCAGTTATATCTTAAAAGTATAAATTACTGTTAAAAATAATGATTTTCATTTTACTTAAGGGGAGGTAACTAAGTAGTGTTTAGCGGTGTAGTATTTTTATTCAACGGTGTAGTATGCAGTTAAACCTGTTTCTAACTCTCTATTATAACAGTACATGTGTAAATGTTGATATTTCAGTTCTGTAACTGCATATATTCCTTAACCATCCCCAGAAATAACCCACGGTATGCAGGTGCAAATTTCATTCTCATGACAACGTTTCCAAATAAGGAATTAAGTGATGAGAGTCTGACACTGGACCAGGGGAAACTGTTAAATGCTGTGATAGTACAAAGACTCAAGTGATGAAGAATCTGTGTCTGTATACCAGTGTAGTGAGTTCATGTCATTCTAGAATATACAACCAATGCCAGGGACAGATTTACATGATATTTCATTCTCTCTGGTATCGTAGAATTAGATATCAATTTAAGAAATATTCTATTCCAAAATAACAGTTTTGCTAAATTTTCATTCATATTTTTATAAAAATGCTTGATATGGTGAAGCTGTCAGTATATTAACAACTCATCTAAACACAAGAAGGCACTTTCAAAGTAGTTGCGAAATTAGAACTTTGTCTTACTGCATCTTCGAAAGTCCATGAGTTATGCTCACTTACATTCTTTGCACCCCTGGAACATGTCATAACGAAATTGAAGGCTCTGTACACACCTCCTGATGATTGATACTACCTGGTAGTTTGATCCTTTGATATTTATTAAAAGTACTGGGCAGCAGCATAACAGTAAAATTGACTGGCTTTGAAGTCTGGTGTTGCTCCTCTCTAATCTTCAAAATACAGGTATCAGCCTAGCCATTGGTAAGGTTATTACATGAAACTATTCAAATTGCTAACTGCCGACCTTCAATTTGGTCATAACACATTCCAGGGGTGCAGGGAATGCAATTGAGTGTACCCCAAGAATTTGATGATGGTCGGACTGTAAAATTTTCAATGCATTGATGTTTAATATATGCATATTAAATGAAAAAGGATTAAGCAAGTTGATAGATTATATTAATTTATCTAAATGTTAAGAAATGACATGGTAGTTGTGTGAATGTATGTAAAAGGTATCATGTATTGTGAGAAGAGAAATACTTCCCATTGATAATATCTATTTAACTCCGTTGGTGTAATCCAGTGTTTTCAACATCACTGATGGTTCATTACATGCATATAAACACAAGGAATATATGACAAATGTAGAATAGCTGTGTAAGAAGTCAGACGTGTAAATGATGATGTATTTTAGAACAAATCTCTGCATTTAGGAAAGAAATATGTATATATATATAGATATGAGAAAGAAAGGAAACTTTTGCAGCTCAGTGTCTATTCAGACCCTTTTTCACAGCTTTATGGACTCCCTTTTTGTAACTATATATATAACTTGAGATGTGTACATGTATACCTATGTCTTTGTTGGACGTTGTTGGCATGCAGAATTGTTTCAAGAAAATATCTTTTAAAGGAATTAACAAAACCTGCCTCGTATATACACTACTCAAGTCCATGACTGAAGTTTGAAGCTACGCCAAATTTGAACATATTCAATTAAGCTGCTGTGATCTGATTGGCTGATAGTTTCCGACTGATATCTATGCGAATAATGATTGAATTTCAAAAACAATTGTTACCTACCTTCCATGTTCATTAGGGGTTGATTGTAATCAGCTGTCATTCTACTTGCGACACACCCACTTCTGTGAACTCTAAATGTCTTATTTAATGTCATTGGAATTTCTCATCTAGTTATACACCTTTATCAGATTATATTGCACAATATATGAACACTTATTGATACATTACACTGTACCTTTTATCAGATATCATTAGAATCTCACACTATTAATGACAAAGCATGTTGGGATGAACAAAATATCTAAAACTTGGCCAGATTGGTGTTTGAAACTCTCATTAGATCCTATTTACAGCTGTTTATTAAATTGGTGCAGTTGTTTAACGATTGAATACCTAGGAGAATGCAGAAAACCAGTGATCGTTTTATCACCAGGTATGCAGTCTCGCCTACCAGCACAGCAGCCCTTCAGTTCTTGTTCCACTCCATAACTCTTCATAAGGCTGAGGTATGTCGACGATGTTCGAATTGATATGCCTGTGCATTGCATTATTATCCTACATCAAACCATCATGTAGTCCACTTTAGAGCTATACGCTAGCTATGTCTATGTACTATGTGAAGGAGCCGTTTAAGTTGATACACAGTTTTTATTTATTATCCTTTTTAAATGGAAGACCACTTGTGATTTGGAAATGACATTTTTTCGTTACCCTGTCTGAATGTTTGGTGAAACAGTTAAATTTGTTGTATGAAATAAAATTGTGTTGCTTAAATTTACCATAGGTTTTCGTTGTGTTGATTCAAATAGCTTATTGTCTTACGAAATATGTATAATACCATCTTCTTTGATGTAGTAACAGATTTCGGGAAAAAATGAAATCTTTAGATGATTTCATACCAACAGATTTGAATAATTGTAGTCTAGTAAACACTTCATATGGGATTTAAAAACTTGATAGTCCAAATTTGTTTTGCCCCGTAAGGATCTGAAACAAACCTTGATATTCATATAAACACTTCATGCTAGACTTACTAAACTCGATAGTCGAGTAAACACTTCATGCTAGACTAACTAAACTTGATAGTCGAGTTAACACTTCATGCTAGACTTACTAAACTCGTTAGTCGAGTAAACACTTCATGCTAGACTAACAAAACTTGATAGTCGAATAAACACTTCATGCTAGACTTACTAAAATTGATAGTCGAGTAAACACTTCATGCTAGACTTACTTAACTTGATAGTCGTGTAAACACTTCATGCTAGACTTACTAACCGTGATAGTCGAGTAAACACTTCATGCTAGACTAACAAAACTTGATAGTCGAATAAACACTTCATGCTAGACTTACTAAAATTGATAGTCGAGTAAACACTTCATGCTAGACTAACAAAACTTGATAGTCGAATAAACACTTCATGCTAGACTTACTAAAGTTGATAGTCGAGTAAACACTTCATGCTAGACTAACAAAACTTGATAGTCGAATAAACACTTCATGCTAGACTTACTAAAATTGATAGTCGAGTAAACACTTCATGCTAGACTTTCTAAACTTGATAGTCGAGTAAACACTTCATGCTAGACTTTCTAAACTTGATAGTCGAGTAAACACTTCAAGCTAGACTTACTAAAGTTGATAGTCGAGTAAACACTTCATGCTAGACTAACAAAACTTGATAGTCGAATAAACACTTCATGCTAGACTTACTAAAGTTGATAGTCGAGTAAACACTTCATGCTAGACTTCCTAAACTTGATAGTCTAGTAAACACTTCATGCTAGACTTACTAACCGTGATAGTCGAGTAAACACTTCATGCTAGACTTTCTAAACTTGATAGTCGAGTAAACACTTCAAGCTAGACTTACTAAAGTTGATAGTCGAGTAAACACTTCATGCTAGACTTTCTAAACTTGATAGTCGAGTAAACACTTCATGCTAGACTAACAAAACTTGATAGTCGAATAAACACTTCATGCTAGACTTACTAAAGTTGATAGTCGAGTAAACACTTCATGCTAGACTTACAAAACTTGATAGTCGTGTAAGCACTTCATGCTAGACTTACTAAACTCGTTAGTCGAGTAAACACTTCATGCTAGACTAACTAAACTTGATAGTCGAATAAACACTTCATGCTAGACTTACTAAACTTGACAGTCGAGTAAACACTTCATGCTAGACTAACTAAACTTGATAGTCGAGTAAACACTTCATGCTAGACTTACTAAACTTGATAGTCGAGTAATCACTTCGTGCTAGACTTACTAAACTTGATAGTCGAGTAAACACTTCATGCTAGACTTACTAAAGTTGATAGTCGAGTAAACACTTCATGCTAGACTTACTAAATTTGATATTCATATAAACACTTCATGCTAGACTTACTAAACTTGATAGTAGAGTAAACACTTCATGCTAGACTTACTCAACTTGATAGTCGAGTCAACACTTCATGCTAGACATACTTAACTTGATTGTCTAGTTAACACTGCATGCTAGACTTTCTAAACTTGATAGTCGAGTAAACATTGTCGTTTTAGTCTATAGCAAGTTGTTTAAATGTATGTGGCTAAGTATATGTTGGTTGGTTATTTATAATACTAAACTTGATAGTCGAGTAAACACTTCATGCTAGACTAACTAAACTTGATAGTCGAGTTAACACTTCATGCTAGACATACTTAACTTGATTGTCTAGTTAACACTGCATGCTAGACTTTCTAAACTTGATAGTCGAGTAAACACTTCATGCTAGACTTTCTAAACTTGATAGTCGTGTAAGCACTTCATGCTAGACTTACTAAACTTGAAAGTCTAGTAAACACTTCATGCTAGACTTACTAAACTTGAAAGTCGAATAAACACTTCATTCTAGACTTACTAAACTTGATAGTCTAGTAAACACTTCATGCTAGACTTCCTAAACTTGATAGTCGAGTAAACACTTCATGCTAGACTTTCTCAACTTGATAGTCGAGTTAACACTTCATGCTAGACATACTTAACTTGATTGTCTAGTTAACACTGCATGCTAGACTTTCTAAACTTGATAGTCGAGTAAACACTTCATGCTAGACTTTCTCAACTTGATAGTCGAGTTAACACTTCATGCTAGACATACTTAACTTGATTGTCTAGTTAACACTTCATGCTAGACTTTCTAAACTTGATAATCGAGTAAACATTGTCGTTTTAGTCTATAGCAAGTTGTTTAAATGTATGTGGCTAAGTATATGTTGGTTGGTTATTTATAATACTAAACTTGATAGTCGAGTAAACACTTCATGCTAGACTTTCTCAACTTGATAGTCGAGTTAACACTTCATGCTAGACATACTTAACTTGATTGTCTAGTTAACACTGCATGCTAGACTTTCTAAACTTGATAGTCGAGTAAACACTTCATGCTAGACTAACTAAACTTGATAGTCGAATAAACACTTCATGCTAGACTTACTAAACTTGAAAGTCTAGTAAACACTTCATGCTAGACTTACTAAAATTGATAGTAGAGTAAACACTTCATGCTAGACTTACTCAACTTGCTAGTCGAGTTAACACTTCATGCTAGACATACTTAACTTGATTGTCTAGTTAACACTTCATGCTAGACTTTCTAAACTTGATAGTCGTGTAAGCACTTCATGCTAGACTTACTAAACTTGAAAGTCGAGTAAACACTTCATGCTAAAGTTACTAAACTTGATAGTCGAGTAAACACTTCATGCTAGACTAACTAAACTTGATAGTCGAATAAACACTTCATGCTAGACTTACTAAACTTGATAGTCTAGTAAACACTTCATGCTAGACTTCCTAAACTTGATAGTCGAGTAAACACTTCATGCTAGACTTACTCAACTTGATAGTCGAGTTAACACTTCATGCTAGACATACTTAACTTGATTGTCTAGTTAACACTTCATGCTAGACTTTCTAAACTTGATAGTCGAGTAAACATTGTCGTTTTAGTCTATAGCAAGTTGTTTAAATGTATGTGGCTAAGTATATGTTGGTTGGTTATTTATAATGTATGGGTTTATAAAGTGAATGCGTCTTTGAGTGAGAAAGAATGAATCGTTGAATGACTTAAAACATTTGCACATAGGAACGTAAAACTATGCATAGCTGGTTGGGGATTCTGAACCCTGGTATCCTACAGACCATAAGTGTGGAAGTCGCAATATAGAATCATTAGCTTAACAAAATAACGGAAATACATTTACATCATAAATGTCATATTCTTCATTTCATTTGTATTTGTATTGCACTAGGCAATATAACGTGCGACTTGAGAGGAGACTACAATTATTCGATGGACGCTCACGTCACAGGTGAAATATTCTTATGGCAACTGCCCTCCACAAATTTGTCGGGGAAAGACAACGTTTGTTAATTGTTTTTGACGTGAAGAGGACACAAGGAGCACATCCTATTGTTATGTCCATCGAACATAGCTTGAAGTAAAAAAACCCAAAAAACTCGTACCCTGTGAGAACTTTCAGAAAGGTACGTAAGGACAAAAACACTATAGGGCTTTCTGGAGACGACCTACTAGTATCACTGCAGTCTGAAGATATGCCGGCAAGTAGTAAATGTGGTATGAATCAGAATGAATAGAACTGTGCTTTTCATAGCACAGCCGTTTCTTGGGAAACCTTATTACATTTTTAACTTGACAATTTCTCAAACTATGAAGTCGAGAAAAGCAAACCTTGGTTCCGACGCTAGATTGACACTTGTGGCAGATAAAACTATAATCAAGACGTATCAAAGTTGACTCGAGATAGCGACCACAATGATATTGATAGAGGCCAAACAGACCAGCAATACCAGTAGTAACAGAGGTAGAACGAATGTAGCCCAATTGAACCTTGTTTGTTCTTGTAGTTGTTGATAATTTGGTCGGAAGTTTAATAACGGTGAGAATATTACAAAATACACATGTACAATTTGTTGGAAATATTTAATTCGCTTGTAAAACAAATACATTGAGTACAACATTCAAATATGAAATCCTCGTGTAATGGATGGTATGTCGTTTCAAGCATTTTTCAACATTCTGTTTCTTTTCTCATGATAACACACCTCCTGGTTTGCGTAAAATGTGCAAAGTTATTATGCCCAAACTCAGTCTTAATTGGTCGAAAAATGTTACGTATTAAACACGTAAAATCTTAATTATAAAAGTATTCACTCCGAACTGTTTCGTTTGTTTCCACATAAGTTCCAATGCCATTGCCACGCTTTTCTGACATAACTGGTATATATGCTAATCAACACTAGTCATGCGATGTTTGTCTTGGCACCGCATCCACTTTTCTGACATAACTGGCATGTATGCTCATCAACACTAGTCATTCGATGTTTGTCTTTGCACCGCATTCCCTTTTCTGACATAACTGGTATATATGCTAATCAACACTAGTCATGCGATGTTTGTCTTGGCACCGCATTCACGTTTCTGACATAACTGGTATGTATGCTCATCAACACTAGTCATGCGATGTTTGTCTTGGCACCGCATTCACTTTTCTGACATAACTAGTATATATGCTAATCAACACTGTTGTCATACGATGCTTGTCTTTACTTCCAACAGCCTGTCAAAGTTGTAGAAAAGCATTGTCCTAGTGACACTGCTGAATGAAAAAAACCCTGAAAATGCTCACTTCACCATTAAAATAAATATGAAGTCTTGACTTAACTGGCCAAGTCTGACTTTGACTTTGTCAGACTTGTTCAGGTATATTCAGCGCAAAACGGCAAA